GCGAGTTTGCCGGCCCCGCGCCCTGCTCGGGCCTACACGGCGCGCAGGGCCTTCAAAACTCGATCTGGCTGCAAAGGCCCAAGCTGCCCCGCGGCTGCAGCAGCGCGAATCTCGGCGCACAAGTCCAGAGAGCCTGCCACTCAAGCGCTTCCTGGTCGACAATGCCCCGAGGGTGAACCAAAACACGGACCCCAGTTCGTAACTCGTCGGGGGGGGGGGGGAATTTGTTTAAGAGATTTGTGGGGAATTCCAGAGGCTTCGGGGGTGGCGACCCACTCGCGAAAGTCCTTGAGAGATCCACCCGCCGCCCGTCGTCGGGCGCGATCAGCAGCGCGCGTAGCAACAGTGGCCATCTTGTGAACGCAGTCGTCTGGCAGCTGCTCGACGCGCAAAAAACTGGTCTGCCAGTCGCCCCAATCTGCTCCCATGCCCTCCTCCTCCTTCCCCCGAGTGCCAGCCAGCGGTACGTGGGCCCCAGCTGGCTGGTCATCTGCTGGAGCCCGCGCAGCCTCGTAAAGTTTGACTTGCTGGACTCGGCCATCGCCTCGCCCTCGGTGCTTGCTGAGTCAAAACAAAACAGTGGAGAGGCGCCCTCACCACGTAGCCACAAGATCATGAAACGGTTGGCCCCGAACTTCCTCCGCGGCTTTCATCGCCGTGGTACGGCGCAACGGTCTTGAAGCCCGAGACGTACCACCTCCTAGACGGACCCCGTGACGATGAGAAACAGCGCGCTCCAGAGTGGCGACCCAAGCCCCATGCATAGCACTGCTACGAAGAGCGCAAGGCCTTGCAACAGCATGCGCGACATAATCTCGCGCGGCGGGCCACACCCCCCCCTCCTCATGAGACTTGACATGCCCGACATCCTCCCGATAAGCGCTCCACAAGTCAGGGGGCAAAACGAAGGAAGGGGGGCTGGTCCTAACGTCTGCCGAGGGTTGGTTCGGGGTGGCGGCGGCCATCGACTGAGACTGCGACTGCGCGGATGCCGGCGAAACGTTGGCATGAGATGGGCGCGGGGCTGGGCCTATCGCTTCCGCCTCAGCGTGCCTGGTGACCGTTGACTGAGACTGTGACTGCGCGGATGCCGGCAAAACGTTGCCATGAGAGGGGCGCGGGGCAGGGCCTATCACCTCCGCCTCAGCGCGCCTGGGAGCATCGTCCGGTCAGGAAAAGAAACGAGCGGCTTCGAGCTCGCCGTCGAGCTCGCTGCCAGAGTCAACAGACCAAAGAGGCACAGGCGCACGTTCAGGCTCCTCGAGGTCACCGAACATCGCCTGGACCGCCTCAGCCGCCCGTCCGCGAGCCAACGTTCTCTGCTCTTGTTTTCTTTTTTCTGCTTATTCTGGCTGGCCTTCGAACCAGGCGTCGGCAAAACCACGGGTCGAGGAACTTGTGGAAGATGCGCAGGTAGAACAAGCTCCCGACAGAGAAGCTGATGTCCTGACCCACGAAGCCGAATCTGCAAGGCGCAGCGAGGGCTCCACGGCGCCGCAAGTGCAGTGGTGACTCGCGCGATGTACGGAATGGCTGGCAATGACGTAGTCGAGCATCGCACCCTTGCCTGACTCGCATGTGGCGTCAATGGCGGGCGTGAGAACGACTCCCTCGATGCGACGAAGAAGTCTACGCGACTGAAGCACCTCGGGTGGAACATTGAAGTCCCCCGCTATGAACCAAGGTAATCTCAACTGTGAAACGAAGACACCAAATCGAGCATATCTCTGGAGGTTCCTTCCACCAAGACCATCAGAACTGAAGCCGTAGAAAAGTATAGCAACTACCGAATGCCCATGTTGACGCAACGTCATGGCCGCAATGCCGTCGACCACTGCAGAACCTTCTCAGCGGAGGTCCCGCACCGCAGCGGCATCGACCGCAACGTGCGTAACCTGGAGATGACCTCGTGTAAACCACTTGTCACCTCCTTCGCTGGCCCTATCACGCATGGCATCAGCACGCCCGCGGCCAGCGGCTCGAGCGGGATTAGCAAGTAACTTGAAAGAGTTCTGCATGGCTTCATGACGCCAATGGAGCATGTCATTGCGCGCTTCAACGTGCGTCTCGACCAGGCCGGAATGATGAGAAGGTTGACAAGCTGGCCCCCGAACGTAGTTCCAGGCCTCCTTGCCCAGCGCGGCGATGTCGGCGGCCAGGATGAAGGCATCGGCGCCACTCTTAGAAAGTGATGCCCGTTCCCCCGCATCCTCGGCTGAAGGCTGCCCACGACAATCATCGTCTGCTGAGGCAGCTGTGCACTGTGAGGCGGCTGAACTGGAAGTAGGCGCGCTCGCTACTCCAGCCCGCCACATGCGTCAAGCCACTGGCCTCTGGGCTGCCTCGGCTGCCTCGGCCAAGGAGGCCGCGGCCGCCGCTGCCACCTTGGCTGCCGCGAGCTTGGCAGCTGCCTCCTTCGGCCGCTCCTCCTTGGCCTCCGCTGACTCGGCAGGCTCGGCTCTGGCCGCCTGACTGCGCGGAGCCTCGGTTGCGCTGCCGCCTCCTGAGCCGCCGTCGGAAGGTGCCGACTCAGCGCTCGGGGCCGCCGCCGCGCCGCCGTCGGCTGTTCTGCGCTTCTTGGCCGAGCGCGTCTGGATCTGCTGCTGCAGCTCCTTCGCCCTGGCGAGCCATGCCTGCGCGGCCGCGTTCTTGGCGGCCAGGTCCTGCTCGGTGGCCTCGAGGTCCGCCTCGAGCTTGCGCGGCGACTCGATCTCGCCGGGCTCGGCCTCGAGCTTGTCGAGCTGGGCGAAGAAACTTTCGCCCCACTGGATGCCGAAGAGCTCCGCGTCGGACCCCTTGGCCGCCGGCTGTCCGTCAGGAATGACACCGCTCTTCGCCGCCAAGGCCATGGCCGCGAGCGCCTTGGCCTCCTGCGAAGCTACCAGGGCGCACTCCTTCTCGCGCTCGCGAGCCTTGATGACTGCGGCCTCGCAGCGCTGGAGTGCCTCGAAAGCCTGGTTGTGCTTGAGCTCGGCGCCCTTGACTGCCCCGACGGCGCGGCGCAGCGCCTCCTCGACAGTCTGCGGGGCGCCCTTCTCCTCGGCCCCGGCGCTGGCGATCTTCGTCCTGAATCGTGTTAGAAAGCCATTCTTCGGATTTCAACACAGCGAATCCTGGCTTTTGTCAAAACACAATTTCTGGTGCGTTGATGATGGGAACCAGTGAACCTCTTGCAAATTTTTGTGAAGGAATGCGCGCGGCGCTAAAGCGATAATCACTTTTTGAAAAGGAGCTGTCCTCGATCTGTGAAGTTCTTGCAAATTTAAAAAAGCGAATGTGCGCCGCGCCAGCCGCATTTTGAAAACCACCCGCCCTCAATCCGTGAAGCTTTACGGCGAGATCCACATGTTGAAAACCACCCGCCCTCAACCCGAAAAGCTCTTGCAAATGTTTAGAATGAGTGCGCGCCGCGCTTTGAAAACGACCCGCCATCCATCTGTGAAGCTGCTGCTAATCTTCTTCAGTCTCAGAACCATAAATGGTGAGGAAGTCTCAGGCGAAACGCCCGGCCCGCACTAAAAACTGGCCTCGGGAGGCGTTATATATAAGGAAAAAGACAGGAGGAGGAAGAGGAGGAGGAGGAGCAGGAGGAGGAGCAGGAGGAGGAGGAGGAGCAGGAGGAGGAGGAGCAGGAGGAGGAGGAGGAGGGAGGAGGAGGAGGAAGAGGAGGAGGAGGAAAAAGAGAGAGAGGGAGGCGCCCGCGGCGGGACGCAGGGAGGCAGGAACAGGAAGACTCGAGGAGCAGGTCGGGGCTACGGCGAAGGATAAGGAAGAGCAGGAGGAGGAGGAGAAGGAGGAGGAGGAGGAAGAGGAGGAGGAGGACGAGAAAAGGAGGAGGAGAGCGAGGAGGAAGAGGAGGAAAGCGAGGAGGAGAAAGAGGAGAAAGAGGAGGAGGAGGAAGAGAGGAAGGCGGATGGAAGAAAAAAGGAAGGGGGAGGAGGGAGAGCAGGAGGAGGAGGAGGAGGAGGAGGAGGAGGAGGAGGGAGGAGGAGGAGAGGAGGCGGAGGAGGCGGAGGAGTCGAGGGGAGGAGGAGAGTAGGGGAGGAGGAGAGGAGGAGGAGGAGGAGGAGGAAAAGGAGGACGAGAAAGGGGAGGAGGAGGGGGAACATGACAATGAGACAGAGGAGGCGGAGGAGGAGGAGGAGGAGGAGGAGGAGGAGGAGGAGGGACAGCATGTGCTGGATGATGGAAACGGCGATCACAATGGAAAACACGTGGAGGCGGAGGAGGAGGAGGAGGAGGGGAGGAGGAGGAGGCGGGACCAGGAGGAGGAGAGGACCAGGAGGAGGAGGAGGAGAGGAAGAAAGGGGAGAAGGAAGGACAAGGGGGAGAAGGAAGAGGAGGAGGAGGGACAGCATGTTGCTGGAGGATGGGGACGGCGAAACACATGGACAATAGGTGGGGCGGAGGAGGAGGAGGAGGAGACGAGGAGGAGGACGAGGAGGAAGAGGAGAAGAGAGGAGGAGGAGGAGAGGAGGAGGAGGAGGAGGAGGGGAGGAGGAGGCGGTGGAGGAGGTGGAGGCGGGGAGGGGAGGGAGGAGGAGGAGGAGGAGGAGGAGGAGGAGGAGAGGAGGAGGAGGAGGAGAGAGGAGGAGGAGGGAAGCGAGGAGGAGGAGGAGGAGGAGGAGGAGGAGGCGGAGGAGGAGGAGGGGGGGAGGAGGAGGAGAGATGAGGCGGAGGAGGCGGAGGCAGCGGCGAGGAGGAGAGGAAGAGGAGGGACGAGGAGGAGCAGGAGGAGGAGGAGGGGAAGCAGAGTAAGCGGAGGGGTAGCTGGAGGAGGGGAGGAAGGGGAGGAGGAGGAGGGGGAAAGAAGGGGGGAGAGGAGAGGAGGAGGAGGCGGAGGAGGAGGAGGGAAAGGAGGAGGAGCGGAGGAGGAGGAGGGAAAGGAGGAGGAGAAGGAAAAAGGAGGAAGGAGGAGGCGGGGGAGGAGGGGTGCGGAGGGAGGAGGCGTGTTGTGGAGGACCGAGGGGGCCTTCGCCGCCCCCAGCTCTGCGCCGCAGGCGCCTGTTGCGCGCCCGTGCTCATCCACGTGCAGCAGAAGCTGCAGGATATGCCGCACCGGCAGGCCCCGCCCTCGGGAGGGCGAGGGCGCGGAGAGCCAGGGAAGAACGTGAGCCTCGAGTTTGCCAGTCCCTTGGCGCGGGGCCCGCGACAGCGTAGTGCTGCTCTTCTCTCCACCCTGCTCTCCTCTGCACCCCGCCTTCCGTGTTCCTCCTGCCTTCTCCCTCCTCCTTTTCCTCCCCCTCCTCCCTCCTCCTCTTCATCCTCCTCCCTCCTCCTCCTCCCCGTCCTCCTCCTCCTCTTCCTCCTCCTCCTCCTCCTCCTCCTCCTCCTCCTCCTCTTCCTCCTTTTCCTCCCCAACCTCCCTCCTCTTGCTCCTCCTCCGTCCTCCTCCTCCTCCTCCTCCTCCTCCTCCTCCTCCTGCTCCTGCTCCTGCTCCTCCTCCTCAGTCCGTAGCCATTTTGGCTCAAGATGATTGGTGCCCCTGGGGACCACACGGATACCGCTAGTCCGCGGCCAGACCACCGTTCGCCTTCACCGTGGGATTTGGGCACCCACTTCCAGTCCTGCAGCCCCGTTTGCGCTGCTACGGCGGCCCGCTTCCATCGGGGCCCGCGTGGCCAGCTTGCAGGATGGCGCCGCAGCACTACCGCTCGGAGCAGAGCACGCGGCAATGGTACTGCAAGAGCTGCGTCGGGCCCAAGGGCCTCCCTTGGTTCAACTACGCCGACGCGACGTCCTGCACCAAGTGCAAGCTGGGCAAGGGGCTTTGCTTCAAGGAGTATCGCGCCCCGCCGATGCCGTCGCTTGGCAGGCCAGGGAGGTCCTTCTCAGCATGGGCAGACTCCGTGCAGGTGCAGAAGCTCAAGCAGGAGTTGGCCTCGACCCAGGCAAAGCTCAAGCGTCTCGACGGCCATGGCCCCGCCTCGGAGGAGGCGGACACACCCAGCGGCAGCGAGCGGGACAAGCAGCGGCTGCAGGTCTTGGCCGAGTTGCTCAAGACAGTCAGCGGCAGCGAGGACGTCCACCTCGTGCGTGCAAAGGAGGCCTACACCAAGGAGCAGGGCGAGCTCAAGGCCAAGTTGACAGATGCGCGCCCGTTGGGCCAAAGGCTGCGAGACCTTGGAGCCCAGATTTCCAGGCACCAGAAGCTGCAGGACGACCAGAAGCGGCGGCTCGCTGGCATCCACGAGAAGCTCGCGGTTTTGCAGGAGCAGGAGAAGGCGGCGCAGGCCCAGTGCACGGCGCTGGCCCTGCAAAAGGAGGAGTTGCAGGAGCAGCAGCGGCAGCTGCAGAGCGAGGCCCCAGTGCCCCCGACGTTCGAGCCCGGGAAGGGACTTGCCGACGAGGCCAGACCCTGTCAGGCCTTGGCGAGGCGCTGGGCGCCCTCGGCGCCGAGCACAGCTTGGCGGAGAGGCTCGGACCTCGAGCGGCTCAAGCAGGTGGCGGAGGAGGCGCGCGCCGAGCAGCTGGAGGAGCGCGAGGCCAACGCCGCCGCCGAGGCCGAGCGGCAGCGGGCCGAAGGTGCGGCCGAGGTGCCCGCGCCCATGGACCAGGACGAGGGCGCCGCCCTCAGCGAGGAGCTCATCGAGGAGATGGCCAACGCTGGCGGCGACAAGCGGAAGATCGAAGATATTCTGGCCAAGCACGGGTGCAAGCGGCGCAAGGCTGCCGCGTAGTAGCCCCGCCCTGTTCCCGAGGCTGCTCTGTGTCTTGTGCCCCATCCTCTGCGCCATGGCGAAGCCCATAGGCATAACCACACTCAACGTCTCGTCAGGTGGCCCGCTCGTCGACTACCTGGCCTCGTGCTCCAGCATGTGCGTCGCCGTGCAGGAGCGCCACGCGCTGCCCGCGGGTCTGGCCAAGGCCCAGCAGGACGCCCTGGCCGAGGGCTTCCACGGGGTCTGGGAGGCTGCGCTCCCAGGGCTGGGCGTTGGCAGCCAAGGCGGGGTCGCCGTCCTGGTGCATCGGCGCGCGCTCATCACGGCGCCCCCTGCACTAGAAGGGCTTACGCTAGGGCCAGGGGGGATGGTTGCTGCCCGCGTCACCTGCGGCGGCAAGCGCGGCTTCGTCATGATCTCCGTGTACTTGCGAGTGGACGAGCTGATGTCGCGCGAGAACCTGGCCATTCTCTCCAGGCTCTATCAATATCTCAAGGTGCTCGACTCGATGCAGATGCCGTGGGTTGTGGGCGGCGACTTCAACGTGGAGCTGAAGCAGATGGGCACCTTGGCGCGGCTGCGCTCTGTCAACGGCGTCGCGGTGGTGCCCTCGGCGCCCACCTGCCTGGGGGCGCCCCCTGGCCGCGCCGTCGACTTCTTCCTCGCGGCAGCCCAGCTGGTTCCCAGGTTGAGCACCGCGGCTGTGGGTGAGGCAAACACCTGGCCTCGCCAGCCCGTCACGACGCAGCTCAGCGCGTCGCCCCAGGTCACGTGGACACGGCAACTCGCGCAGGCCAAGGGCTTCATCAAGGAGCCCAAGGTCGGGCGTGCCAGGCCGCCGCCTGACTGGGGCCCGTTCGTCGAGCAGGTTGCGCAGGCCCAGCCCGCGCAGGACTTGGCAGAGATTTGGGGCCAGTTGCTGCTGGGCGTGGAGTTCGGGCTGCAGGGGGGGCACGACGTCGTCGGACCCCAGGCCGCCAAGTTTCTGTCGCAGCCGGCGGCGCCGTCCTTCAAGTGGGCCAAGTTCGAGCCCGACGAGCGGCAGTCCTGGAAGCGGAAGGCCCCAGACGTGGCAGCGTGGCTCACCGCTGCTAGATGGGCTCTGCATTTTCGGCGCGTTCGCATGGCATTGGTGTCTTTTCTTTCGAAGCTGTCCGCGCCGCCAGCGGTCGTCTTGCAGGAGCGCAGCGAGGGCGCGCAGGCAGCCGCACCGTCAGGCGCGAGGCCGCCCCCCGAGGAGCCGCGCACGAGAGGCAGGCCCGCCGGGACCGCGACCGTCTCGGAGGAGGCCGCGGGGAAGCTGGGGCCCCAGGTTTGCAGCGAAGCTGGGCTCCAGCGAGGTGGGCTGGATACTCGTGCGCGGCGACCCCGCGGAGGTGAGTCGAGCGCTGGCAGCTGGCCAGAGCCGCCTCCGCCGTGTTCACCGACGTCGCATTGCAGCGCGCTGTGCGACAAGACGGCCAGGCACATCCTCGATTTCCAGAACTTCCTAAAGCGGGTGACAGCCAGGCAGGACACATGGCAGCACCTGGACAGCGACGCGACTGTCTTCTTCTGTCAGGGGATCGAGGCGCTCAAGGTGGATACGGACACGTTCGACCGGCAGATCGATCGCATCCTGGCCAAGGCAGAGGCCATGCAGCGGTCCCACGAGAGGCAGGTGACGTCCAGGTGGCAGGCGCGGGCTGCGGCATCCATCGACGGAGGGGCCAGCCGCGCCCACAGGTTTTCTAAGCCGCAGGCGCTCCAGGAGGTGATCGACTTCGGCGCAGGGGCCCAGCGCGCCTACCAGCTGGCCGACCGTAAGTTGTCCTACTGGAGCGAGTCCTGGCGGATGCACGAGGATGGCCCGATCCAGCTGCCGAGCGACGCCGCCAACTGGGGCCAGCTGCCGCCGCTGAGCGGCACCGACGTCCGTCGAGCGATCCGCGCTTTCAGTTGGCGCTCAGGTACTGGGCAGATCAAGATCGCGCCGCGGGCCCTCGATTTCCTGCCAGACGCCGCCCTCGAGGCGATGGCCCAGGTTCCCCCGTTGCGAGCAGCTATTGATTTGGCCACAGTCGCGCGCCATCACAAAGCTCGTTCGCCTTCCCAAGCCTGGGGGAGGAGAGCGCCTGATCGCCCTCCTCAACACCCTGGTGAGGGTTTGGGGGCGGGCGCGGCGCCCTGTCTCGGCGCAGTGGGAGATCGCCAGCGCGTCCGAGGAGTTCTGTGGGCACATCGGAGGCCGCTCGTCGACGGACGCAGCGTTTGACCTGGCGCTTAAGAAGGAGACGGCCCAGCTGTCGGGCCAACATGCGGTGATCGTGCTCCTGGACATGCTCAAGTGCGACGAGCTGGTGCGGCACCAGGCGATCCTCGACGAATGCAGGGCCAACGGATATCCCATTATACTGGCTTACATGCTAGTGACGATGTACGAGCAGGCGCGCGCCATCTTCGCGTACAACTCGTTCTCCGAGGATAGGGTCAACTGCCAGGGTATCCTGGCTGGCTGCACTCATGCGACCACGTTGCTGATGGTGCTGCTCACGCGCAGCATAAGGCTGACCAAGTCCGTCGCTCGTGAGGTTCGGCCTCGGGACTTGGTCGACGATGTTGCGCTTTCCTGGGCTGGCTTTGATGCGCGGGGGCCCCGCGGGGGTCACGAGCCATGGCCACGGCTACCAAAGCTTTCTGCGAGGAGGCCCGGCCACTAGGACTTGCGCTGCAGCTGAACAAGTCAGGGCACCTTGCGGTCACACGCCAGACGGAGTACTACTTCAAGGCGTACGCCAGGGTGCTGGGGGTCGAGGGCAAGCGCCACATGCGGCACCTGGGCCACGACATGTCGGCCAACGGCGCGGTGCGAGGCGTTCAGAAGGACAGGCTCAAGAGGATGCATGCCAGAAGGCATCGCTTGTCGGCGCTGCAGATGGGAGCTGGCCGTGGGCGTGCCGCGCGGCTCTGGACTACGGGAGCGATGCCCTCAGTGGGTCACGGAGCTGCGGCTCGCGGCATCAATGACGGTGAGCTGAAGCAGTTGCGAAGTATGGCTGGCAGTTTTTGTGGTTGCAGTGGTTCAGGCTCCCTCACTCTGTACTTGGCGGTGCAGAAGCAGCGCAACTTCCACCCCATCTTCCACGCGACCTGCAGCATCCTGATGCAGTATGCGTCGCGGGTATGGGCGGCAAGAGGATCGACCGCCCAGCTGCAGAAGGCGTGGATGGCGCTGAAGGAGGAGTTCGACGGCGCCAGCTCCGCAGTCACGTGGGCCAGTGCCCGCGGTCCACTTTCGGCGCTGTGGCTCACGCTGAGGAGAGTCGGCTGGGACATGATCAGCGCGACGGCGCTTGTCGACGACCTCGGAGCGGGCATCGACCTTCTCAGGGCGTGCCCAAGCGAGGTCAAGCACTACATGTAT